TTATTATCATTATTATTATTATTATTATCATTACTACTACTACTACTACTACTACCACTACTATTACTACTACTATTGTTATCTTTATTATTGTTAGTATCATGATCATCATCATGACCATCATCATGCTCATAGCCATCATCATTATCATTATTTCTTTTGTTATTAATATTTTATTGATATACCCTCCTATAATGAGGGTTATAATATTAGTTATCAGCGTTATTCTTAACCTTATTTCTATTTCAAATATATCGTGTTTTTTTACTAGATTATATGATTTTCTATTTAATTAAAATCATTTCATAATTTAAATCAAATGAAACGATTCACGCTGAAATTCAAATTGAACTAAATTATCCACATTTAGATCTGAAATGAATGAAATTATCCACGTTTGAATTTAAGTTAAACAATCATCCAAGTTTAAATCGTTTCTCCCTTAAGAAAAAGAACTGAAAGAGAGGATGATAATAATAAAAAGGATAATAGAGTGATAGTAATGATAACAGTAGCAATAACTATGTTGATGATATTGATATTGAAGATAGCGATTGTGAGAGAGATGATGATAATAATGTTGATAATGCTGCTGCTACTACTGTGGTTGAAAATGATAATGATGATGATGATTTGGATAACGATAATGAAGATGGTGATATTGATAACGATAAAGATGATGATTTGGATAACGATGATGAAGATGGTGATATTGATAACGATAATGATGATGATGATAATGATATTGATAACGATAATGATGATATTGATAGCAATAATGATGATGATGATATTGATAACGATAATGAGGATGATGATACTGGTACTGACAACATTTATGATAATGATATTGATAACGATAATGATGATGATGATAATGATATTGATAACGATAATGATGATGATGATAATGATATTGATAACGATAATGATGATGATGATATTGATAACGATAATGATGATGATGATAATGATATTGATAACGATAATGATGATATTGATAGCAATAATGATGATGATGATAATGATATTGATAACGATAATGATGATGATGATAATGATATTGATAACGATAATGATGATGATGATAATGATATTGATAACGATAATGATGATGATGATAATGATATTGATAACGATAATGATGATGATGATATTGATAGCAATAATGATGATGATGATAATGATATTGATAACGATAATGATGATGATGATAATGATATTGATAACGATAATGATGATGATGATAATGATATTGATAACGATAATGATGATGATGATAATGATATTGATAACGATAATGATGATATTGATAACGATAATGATGATGATGATAATGTGATAACGATAAGAACAACGATAACGACAATGAATAACACTTATCAATAAAGAAAATGACATCCATCTTGTGCACGATCAGAACCTTAGGCAATGGCACTGGCACAGAGTGAGTCGACCAGACTAGGGAATCAACGGCAGAAGGGGCGGCCGGCCTTGCTTGTGTTGGGTTTTGTTTGATTGTGCTTGCTTGTGTGGTAATGTTTGATTGTGTTTGTTTTTTTTAAATTTCATTTTATTGTGTTTATTTCTATTTTTTATTGTGTTTGTTTTTTTATTTTGTTTTACTGTGTCTGATTTTGTTTGATTGTCTTTGCTTGGGTTTGTTTTTTATTTTGTTTATTGTGTTTAATTTTGTTTGATTGTGTTTGATAGTGAGGTAGATGGTGTTGTTGGCTTGCTAGGCGGAAGGGGAATGGTGTGACAGGGGGGGGGGAAGCTGGGTGGGTTTGGTTTTGATGTTTGCTTGTTTTATTGTTGTTGTTTTTCTGTGTCGTGTGTTTTGCTTGTTTTCGTTGCTTTTGTTTGTATTATTTTCTTTTCTTGTTCTACCTCTTTTTTATTCCTTTATATCTGGTAGTCCGTTTCTAATCCTCGCCTCCCCCTCCTTCCCCCTCTTCCCCCCTGCCCTTCAAATCCCACCTCCCCTTTCCATGCCCCTCCCCACCTGCCCCCTCCCCCTCGGCCTCCCACCTGTCCCTTCCATGCCCCTCCTACCCCCTCCCTTTCCAACCACCTCCTACCCCCTCCCCCTCGAACCCACTCCCCCTCCTGCCCCTTCCATGCCCCCTTCCACACCTACCCCTCCCCTCCGACCTCTCCCCCCCCTTCCCTCTTCCTGCCCTTCCTCTCCTCCTGCACCCCCTCCTCTTTCTCTATCTCCCTCTTGCCCCTCCTCTATCTCCTCCATTCAATTCTTTCCTCTTTCTCTTCCTCCTTTTCCTTCCTTATTGTCCTCCTCCTTCTTCATTCCATTCCTTTCCTTTTCCTCTTCTTTCTTTTCCTTCCTTCTCCTTGACTTTCTCCCTCTCCACTCTGTTCATATCCTCCTACCCCCTCCCCCTCCAACCCACTCCCCCCCTGCCCCTTCCATGCCCCCTTCCACACCTACCCTTCCCCTCCGACCTCCCCCCCCCTTCCCTCTTCCTGCCCTTCCTCTCCTCCTGCACCCTCTCCTCCTGCACCCCCCCCCCCCCCGTCTATGTATGTGGGCGCGCGCGTGCGTCCGCGAGTCGGTGCTTACCCTGTGCTGTTCCTCCTTATCCGGCGTCGAAGGAGCGATGAATGATTGAGCGGCGTGAAGGAAGCGCCTCGATTTGTCGTGTTTTAGGTCGTTTTGCATCTTGCATTATTCAGTGGCTAAGATCTTCTCTTAACTTTCTTTCGTTTGATCTTTCTTCTATTTTTCTTTCTTTCTTTCCTCCTGTTTTAATTCGTTTTCATTTTCTCTTTCTTTTTTTTCTTTTTCCCCCGCCCACCATCTTTCTTTCTTCTCATTCTTATTCTATTTCTCATCCTCCTGGTCAAGATATTCTGTTTCTCCCTGCTTATTTTCTTCCTCCTTTATTTTATTCCTTTCCTCTTTTTCCTTCCTTATCGTATGTTCTTCCATTTTTTTTCTTTCCTCTTCCTCTTCCTCGTTCTCGTCTTCTCTTCCATTTCATTCCTTTTCTCTTTCTCTTCCTCCCTCTCCCTCCTCGTCGTCTTTTCTTCCCTTTTATTCCTTTCCTCTTTCTCTATCTCCCTCTTGCTCCTCCTCTATCTCCTCCATTCAATTCTTTCCTCTTTCTCTTCCTCTTTTTCCTTCCTTATTGTCCTCCTCCTTCTTCATTCCATTCCTTTCCTCTTCCTCTTCTTTCTTTTCCTTCCTTCTCCTTGACTTTCTCCCCCTCCACTCTGTTCATATCCTCTTTCTCTTCTTTCCCCTCCTTCTTCTTCCCCTTCTTCTTGTTCTCTTTCTTTATTCGGTATTTACGAGGTTTATTTCCTTCCACGCGCGTGTACGAAATGTTAATCTATGCATTGTATACATTTATACATTTATCTTGCGCCGGAATCTTTGCATGTATGTATGTATGTACGTATGTATGTATGTATGTACGTATGTATGTATGTATGTGTCTATGTATGTATCAGTCACCATGTGCGGTATATACATAAGTGCAGGAGGGGGCAGGAGGGGGCAGGGGGGGACAGGAGGGGGAGGCGAGGACTAGAGACGGACTACCAGATATAAAGAAAAAAAAATACATATACGTTTTTATTTGCATGTGTATATCTACGCATTTATCTTTATAAAAAGGAAAAAAAAAGGCTACAAATGTCTTGTGATACATAACCTCGCCCGCGTAACGACGTACCTATTCAGGATTTTTTTTTTTTTTTTAGGGGGGAGGGGGGGTCTGTCAAAACACGGAAAAGATAATACTTGAAGCAGAATGATATATATTTTTCAAAAGACAAGAATTATCTTCGAAGCCAGGAATTGCCATTGTGGGGGTGGGGGTGGGGGGTGGGGGGTGGGGGTGAGGGAGGTGGAGGTAGTTGTGTTGGAGGAGGAGGAGGAAGGAGGAAGCGAGAAGGATAAAAGAAGAAAGGAGGTGTAGGAGAGAGAGAAAGGAAGGAAATGCAAGAAGAAGAATAGCGTGGGAGGAGAGAGGAGGATGACAGAACAAAGAAGAGTCAAAGAAGAACGAGGTTCGTTTGAAATTTAGGAAGCGAATAAGAGAAGAAGGAGAAGGAGGAGGAGAATGATCAAAGTGGAAGGGAGACTGTGAAAGAGAAAGAGAAAGGAAGGAAGGAGAGAGGGAAGAAAGAACAGGTGAAGGGGGAGGGAAAGGGATTGGAGAGGAAGCCAGCTCGGGATTGAGGGGAGGGGAGGAGAGGGAAGGGGAAGAGGAGGAGAGGCGAGGGAAGAGGAAGATAGGAGAGGGAAGAGGAGGGGAGGAGAGGAATGAGGAGGCGAGGAGAGGGAAGAGGAGGAGAGGACAGGGAAGGGGAAGAGAGGAGAGGGAAGAAGAGGAGAGGAGAGGGAAGGGGAAGAGAGGAGAGGGAAGGGGAAGAGGGGAGAAGGAAGAGGAGGAGAGGAGAGGGAAGAGGAGGAGAATAGAGAGAAGGGGAAGAGAGGAGAGGGAAGGGGAAGAGGGGAGAGGGAAGATGAGGAGAGGAGAGGGAAGAGGAGGAGAATAGAGAGAAGGGGAAGAGAGGAGAGGGAAGGGGAAGAGGGGAGAGGGAAGATGAGGAGAGGAGAGGGAAGGGGAAAAGAGGAGTGGGAAGAGGAGGAGAATAGAGAGAAGGGGAAGAGAGGAGAGGGAAGGGGAAGAGGGGAGAAGGAAGAGGAGGAGAGGAGAGGGAAGGGGAAGAGGGGAGAGGAGGAGAAGTGGATCAAGCAGGTTGGGGAGGAGGTCGGAGGAGGGGAGAGAGGAGAGGGAAGCGGAAGGCAGGAGAGGGGAGCCCTGCACCCCCAACATGGCTTCGAGCTTTCCCACTCTGCCTTGGGGATTAATAACACAACATTCCCCAGTCGGCGTCCGGGTAAATGAATTAAAAAACTTTCACTGGAGGCGCTGAAATATTTAACTTTTTCTTATGGAATACGCAAGCGATTCGGCCCCCGCGAGACCCCGCGGCACCGCCAGGACCGACTCACAGAAAACGGAGTCTTAGCTGTTGCAGGGCCGACTGGGACATTCGAGTGGCGGAGTGGCGGAGTAGTGGAGTGGCGGAATGGCGGAGTAATGGAGTGGCGGAGTGCGGAGTGGCGGAGTAGTGGAGTGGCGGAGTAGTGGAGTGGCGGAATGGCGGAGTAATGGAGTGGCGGAGTAGTGGAGTGGCGGAATGGCGGAGTAATGGAGTGGCGGAGTAGTGGAGTAGTGGAGTGGCGGAGTAATGGAGTGGCGGAGTGCGGAGTGGCGGAGTAGTGGAGTGGCGAAGTGGCGGAGTGGTGGAGTGGCGGAGTGCGGAATAGTGGAGTGGCGGAGTAGTGGAGTGGCGGAGTGGTGGAGTGGCGGAGTAGCGGAGTAGTGGAGTGGCGAAGTTGCGGAGTGGTGGAGTGGCGGAGTGCGGAATAGTGGAGTGGCGGAGTAGTGGAGTGGCGGAGTAGTGGAGTGGCGGAGTGGCGGAGTGGTGGAGTGGCGGAGTAGTGGAGTAGCGGAGTAGTGGAGTGGCGGAGTGCCGGAGTGGCGGAGTGGTGGAGAGGGCGGGGAATCGCGGCCTTTGTCGGAGGTGTGGCGTGGGGGATTGGGAACTTTTTTGCACGTTTGATTCTTTTTTTCTTTTTTTTTACGTTTTTTGTACTTTTTTTAGGTGGGGATGATAGTGGGGACTGAGAGAGAGAGAGTTAGAGAGAGAGAGAGAGAGAGAGAGAGAGAGAGAGAGAGAGAGAGAGAGAGAGAGAGAGAGAGAGAGAGAGAGAGAGAGAGAGAGAGAAACCAAGAGAAAAAGAATGATAGAGTGAGAGCGAGAAAATAAAAGAAAGAGAAAGTAAATGAGAGAGTGAGAGAGAGAGAGAGAGAGAGAGAGAGAGAGAGAGAGAGAGAGAGAGAGAGAGAGAGAGAGAGAGAGAGAGAGAGAGAGAGAGAGTCCAAGAGAAAAAGAATGATAGAGTGAGAGCGAGAAAATAAAAGAAAGAGAAAGTAAATGAGAGTGAGAGAGAGAGAGAGAGAGCGAGAAAGAGAGAGAGAGAGAGAGAGAGAGAGAGACAGACAGACAGACAGACAGAGAGGAGAGAGAGAGAAAGAGAGAGAGATAGATAGAGAGAGAGAGAGAGAGAGAGAGGGAGAGAGAGAGAGAGAGAGAGAGAGAGAGAGAGAGAGAGAGAGAGAGACAGACAGACAGACAGACAGAGAGTAGAGAGAGAGAAAGAGAGAGAGAGATAGATAGATAGATAGATAGATAGATAGAGAGAGAGAGAGAGAGAGAGAGAAAGGGAGAGAGGGAGAGAGAAGGAAAACATCCATCCATACATGCTTATATTCCCAGCAGACAAACCGCCGTCTATACGAGGGTTGTTGAACAAGGGAGGCGCCAGTCCGTAGAGTTTATACACAATATGATTATTTGTCTATTTTTACTCCGTGTATGCGCGTGCTCTGTGTGTATGTGTATGTGTATATGGATGTGTACGTCATTTTTATATTGATTTCTATATGGAAGGATCTAATATTCTTCTTCTAGGTTTATGTATGTATATATGTGGAATATATAGGCCTATGCATTGTATGTGCATATGCATATGCTGTGGACGTTCACGTATGTATGCCTCTATATATGTATGTATTTACAGTATGTATGTATGTAGGTATTTATAGTATGTATATAGTTTATATATATTTGACGTACAGTATTTGTATTTATATATGTATTTATTCCACACCGTATTGATGTGAAGGTTGCGTGTATGTGAGTATGCAGTTGTGAGTGAGTACATTTATGTCGCCTCTGTAAGGTTGATATCCCATTCCATATTTAAGAAGTTTCGACTTATTCAACATGCGCCGTCTCAAACCACAGCTCACCAAACAGGAGGTGTACACGCCCTGGAGTTATATCGTAGGATTCAGACACACACGCACGGAAGCACGCGCGCACGGATGTACACACACATGCACGTACACACATACTAATACATATTATATAACACACAAGGTAGGGGAAACTGTACTATACCCTTCCGGCCTAATCAGAGGGTCATGTCCTTTCAACGTAGGGTGAAGGCAGGTGAGGAGCCGAGTAGTTGGGTGGATGGGCAGACAGGTAGGTGGGTCGGTATGGAAGTGGGTAGGTAGGGAAGTGGACAAGTGTGCAGGTGGACAGATGGGTAGGTGGACTAGTATGAAGCTAGGTAGGCGGGTAGGTGGGCAATTAGGTAGGTGGACCAGTATGAAAGTGGGTAAGTGGGAAATTGATGCGTGTGCAAGTGGATAAATGGGTAGGTGGACCAGTATGAAGCTAGGTAGGTGGGCAGATAGACAAATAGGTAGGTGGAAAGTATGAAGCTAGGCAGGTGGGCAGATAGACAAATAGGTAGGTGGAAAGTATGAAGCTAGGCAGGTGGGCAGATAGACAAATAGGTAGGTGGAAAGTATGAAGCTAGGCAGGTGGGCAGATAGACAAATAGGTAGGTGGAAAGTATGAAGCTAGGCAGGTGGGCAGATAGACAAA